CCTGAGCCGGTGAGATTTGAACAGCCGAACTGCAGATAACAGTCAGCTGAAGTGGCTGCAGTACAGCACTCTAACCACTGCGCCACCTCGGCGCAGGGAAACGGCCTCAAAACAGCCTGAAAACTTTTTCTGGTGCTCCGATGCTGGAAACCAGAACAGCAGCTGGCAACGGCACAGGGTTCTGGGTGTCACCCCTGGTACAGGTGCCATAGGTTTCCCATCAAAAGATGAGAGCGTCTTTTGCTGTTCACTAAGGATACCAAGGGGGTACCAGTTATAATTTGCCCCGCCGTTCGCTACTGGCCAGGGCTAAATCTAATGCAGGGGTCTCCAAACCTGGCCACTTTAAGACTTGTGGACTTCAACTCTCAGAATTGGGGAGTTCACAGATGAACAGAGTTGGAAGGGACCTTGTAGGTCATCTAGTCCAACCCACCACCCAAGCAGGAGACCCTACACCGTTTGTGACAGATGCCAGTCCAGTCTCTTCTTGAAAGCCTCCAGGGATGAAGCTCCCACAACTTCTGAAGGCAATTTCTGTTCCATGTGTTGATTGTTCTCACTGTCAGAAAAATTCTCTTCCTTTCCAGGTTGAATCTCTCCTTGTTCAGTTTCCATCCATTATTCCTTTTCTGGCCTTCGGGTGCTTTGGAGAATAGCTTGACCCCCCCCCCCCGGTTCCTCTCTGTGGCAACCCGTCAAATATTAAAAGACTGCTATCATGTCTCCCCTGGTCCAGCTCTTCACTAGACTAGCCAGATGTTTATGAACTCTGTATCATAAACATCCTAAAATGCTAGCGTCGTCCACACATCTGGGCAGCTCACTGCTTAGACCTTAAGCCAAGATAATTTATGAACAAGTTAAAAAAAAGGTTCTGACAGAATTGAGAAACTCTTAAACAGAGGTGTCAAACTGGATTTCTTTGAGGGCCGGATCAGCATTGTTCTCCACAGCGGTGTTCTCCAGTGGGTGAAGAGGGGAGCAGGAAGGGGGGAAATGGGACAGACACCTCCTACAGCATCCTGCCGGCCAAAACAGGGCATGGGGGTGTCACGCGCAGAGTTCTGCACCTCGTTTTTGCCCTCCCCGGCCTCCAGCAGCACCATACCGGCCAAAAATGGGACGCACACAACCCGTTTTCAGCCTCCTTGGCTTCTAGCAACACTCTGCCAGCCAAAAATGGGCCGCCAGGACTGGCAGAGTGCTGCTGGAGGCTGGGGAGGCCAAAAACGGGCCAAGCAGGGACCGTGTGTGGCTCGTTTTAGCCGGCAGCGGCACTGCGGGCTGGTCCTTTGATATTTCCAGGCCGGCCCCATAGACCAGATTTAAACATCCCCTACTCTAAAAGAAGTCTAAGAAGATGGCTTCAAAGGAGAAGAATGATTGGTTGGTTTAAAGCAGTGGTGGGTTCCTATTGGTTCGGACCAGTTCGGCCAAACCTGTAGTGGTTTTGCGGTCTGGGTCATGGGAATCGGCAACAACCCAGGTCTGCCACGCCCCTGAACCAGTTCTCCTACGGCGGCGCCATCTTGATTCTCCATGCTGCGCATGCACAGAATGATTTTCATTGCACAAATGTAATGTGTTTTTTTTTCTTCATTTTTTAACATTTTGCGCATACGCAGACCTATTTATGGGCAAAAAGTGCGCCCGCACCATAACGGCGGTAATGCCGGCAGCAACCCACTCCTGATATATAACGTCCTCGTTTCTCCAGAAATGATGAGGCAGGAAGGAAGCCAGGTTCATTCTGAACGCTAACTCTGCAGAGGAAGAAGCTTCCCACCCGGTTATCGGAGGGAGAAATTCTAGCTTATCGTCTTGACATTTGAAACAAAAGTCCCACGCGGGAAAATGCGCCTTCACTTCCATACCTGAATTTGGAGGACCACCAAATCAGCATCAAGCGTCCTCTTGGTGGGCAACATTTTGACGGACAATTCAATCTGCCTCTTTTTCTCGATCATCTTCAGTTTTAGATAGCGTATCTTCTCATCCATCACATTGATCTCGATGTCGCCGTTTCGGCTCATCATTTCCTGAATGTTGATTTTTTCGTAAAAAATGCAGACTTCTTCTTCGCGCTCAATGAGCTGAACGCCACTGTAATGAAGGAAGGACGGTAAAAGTACATTATAAAAGTTCTGATTCCCTGTAAGCCTCACGTCAAGCGGAATACAGGCAGTCCTCGACTTACAGACGTTCATTTAGTGACTGTTCAAAGTTACAACGGCACTAAAAAAAAAAGTGATTTCACAGTTACAACCTTTGCAGCATCCCCACAGTCACATGAGATCAAAATTGAAATGCTTGGCAACTGACTCATATTTATGACGGTTGCAGCGTCCCGGAGTCATGTGATCGCCTTTTGCGACATTCTGACAAGCAACGCCAATGGGGAAGTCAGATTCACTTAACAGTCAGATTACTAATTTAACAGCTGCAGTGATTCGCTTAACAACTGTGGCAAGAAATGTCGTTAAAATGGGGCAAAATTCACTTAACAAATGTCTCACTTAACGACCGAAATTTGGGGCTCAATTTTGGTCATAAGTGAAGGACTATCTGGATTAACAGTACATTTATTGTCAGTAAAATCGAAAATATTTTAATTAAAAGGTGTTATTTTATCTTCCTTTATGTTTTGTATATTCAAGAATAATTTCTGGGCGTCGGCTAGAATATCAACTGTATTTTCGGAGTCGAAATAATTTAAAACAGCATGACTAATATTTTTGGTTCTTTGTTAGTTTTTTATTCAATCTCTGAACAAATTGTCCATTAAAATATAATTCCCTATTGCTTAGAAATCAATTCCTATTTTTAAGAAGAGTCACAGAAGTGACTACTTCAAATACACGTAAAAGCACATTCTTTATTAATCTTTTAAAGGCAAATTACTAAAAGTAAATGTTTGCTTCTCAAATAATAAAGATGGGATAAAACTCGAATAAATCAATCAAATAAATCATTCAGCATTATTGCCACGGAGTTATGCAGATTATATTATAGTGCAGTCACACCATCCACAAATGATATCAACGGTGGACTCTTACAAATGCTTATTTGGAAATTAACCCATCTATGTTCATCTTCAAAACTTAGTCAAATTAACAAAGGACAAGGATGATACTTATTAAGCTACATTTTCTGTACAGGTGGTCCTCAACTAATAAGAGTTTATTTAATGACTATTTGAAGTTACAACAGCACTGAAACAAAGCGACTTATAACCATTTTCCACACTTACGACCATTGTGCTATCCCCGTGATCACATGATCAAACTTCAGACAGTGGGCAACTGACTCATAGTTATGACAGCCGCAGTGTCCCCTGGGGATGTGATCCCCTTTTGCAACCATCTCACAAGTCACTGGATTCAATTAGCAGCCATGTTGCTAATGTACAGTAGCACCTACAGTGATTCAGTGGCAGGAAAGGTCGTAAAATGGAGCAAAGCTCACTTAAGAAACGTCTCGCTTAGCAACAGAAATACTGCGGTCGTTAGTCGAGGACAACCTGCCTTAACATTACATTTATTGCCAGTAAAATCAAAGATGTTTTAATTAAAAAGTATTGTTTTCTCTTCCTTTAAATTTTGTATATTCAAGAGTAATTTCAGGGCATCGGATAGAACCGTGATGGGAAACCTATGGCTCGCGTGCCAGAGGTTGCATGCAGAGTCAACTCTGTGGGCACGTGCACCATCGCCTGCTGCTCTTCTGCTTTCTGGTGAGCACATGGACGCTGGCTGCTGGTCTTTGCAGTCACCGGAGCTCTGGAAAACAGCCTGAAAATGGCCTAAAAACCGCCTGAAAATGGCCTGAAAAAACAGCCTGAAAATGGCCCGAAAAATGGCCTAGAAACGGCCTGAAAATGGCCCAAAAATGGCCTGAAAGGCTGAAAATGGCACAAAACGGCTATGGAAACAATTAAAAACCAGCCTGAAAATAGCCTCAAAATGGCCTGAAAAAACAGCCCAAAAATGGCCTGAAAAACAGGCTGAAAATGGCTCAAAACAGCCATGGAAACGATTAAAAAGCAGCCTGAAAAATGCAATGAAAATAGCCTGAAAAACAGGCTGAAAACAACCCAAAATGACCATGAAAATGTTTAAAATGCGGTCTGAAAAACTCTGAAAATAGCCTCAAAATGGTCTGAAAAAATGGCCTGAAAATGGCCTGAAAAACAAGCTGAAAATGGCCCAAAACGGCCATGGAAAGAATTGAAAAATGGCCCAGAAAATGGCCTGAAAATGCCCCAAAAATGGCCAAAAACCAGGCATGCACATGCCAGCCAGCTGGTCTTTGCATTTCCGGCATTCTGGCGCACACATGCATGGACCTTCTGTTTTGGGCACTCAGTGCTGAAAAGGTTCGCCATCATTGGGGTAAAATATCAATCCGGTTTTGGGAATCAAAATAATTAAAAATAGAACGGCTGCTATTTTATTGTTCTCCGTTTTTGTTCCACCTCCAAACAAATTGACTCCCTGTATAACTCTGCCAACGAAGGCATTCAAGGGCCCGTCTCCATACCTTTCATTTCGCCGCTGGACAGCCTTCTCGTATGTCTTACGCAACTGGACCATTTCCTCCTCGATCCGGGTGAGCGTGTTGGTCAGCCGTTCGACGTCCATCAGCTGCTGCTCCCGTTTCTCCTTCATTTCCTGGACGGTCTGATAAACCTTGCAGACATCGCTCTGAATGCTGTCCTTGATCGCAACATTGTTGGAATACTTCATCTGATATTTCTGCAGTTTTCTAAAGGCAGGGAAAAACATAAAAGGGCGGGGTGGCACCCCAGTGGTTAAAATGCATTACTGCAGGCTAATTCTGCTGACTGCCGGTTGCCTGCAGTCTAATTTCTAATGCTGGATTTTCCCCCTTACCAGAGGGAGCCCTCTTGTGGAGTACTGTGAAGTCATTACCATGGCAAATCCACTGAGCTGTACAGTAGAAGCTATTTTAATGCAGTACAGTAGAAGCCATCTTAAGGCACAACAGGCTGTATCTTAACAGAACACACACCCCGAGGGGTGTTAGGGGTGTAGATAGATAGATAGATGATAGATAGATAGATAGATAGATAGATAGATAGATAGATAGATAGATAGATNAGAGAGAGGGGGGGGGAGAGAGCTATCATATTCATTCATACATATATGCAGGTTTTGGTGTATTTTTGGTGTATTGGGGTCTTTTCCCGTGTAAGATTGAGAGTATCTTGGCAACGTTTCAACGAGGTCCCACTCGTCATCTTCAGGCTGGTGTCTTTGGCTTCGTGTCTGTGTGAGCAAAGCATGATCGGAGCTGCCATCCCTCTATAAATACTGGTGGGGGTGTGTGGAGTACTGGCTCTGTTGCTGCAAGCAGATTGGTTGGCTGTGTTGTAACATCTTGATTAGTTGCCAAGATACTCTCAATCTTACACCGGAAAAGATCTGGATACACCAAGACCTGCATACCTGTACCCGTGAAAATCTACAAAAATATATATGTATGTATGTATGTATATATATATATATAATAGAAGATAAGCACAGTGACTTGAAGCCCTGAATGAATGAGAAGTAGGATAAAAAAATCTTTAAAAGTTATGAAACAGCAGTTTACTAAAATTGGTTTCATACAACATGCTTAAGCAGGTTGGTTCCACATCTAGCAGACAGATTCTCGCAGTGTGATAAACTCAATTACTGATAACTTCAGTTAGTTTTTTACACTTCTGTCTGTGAATCCAATTTGTTCAACTTACTGTTTAATGCGATGTCTCTCACCTTCCCCCACAACTTTAAGATTTGTGGACCGCGGGCTGACTGGGGAATTCTAGAAACTGAAATCCACATATCTTAAAGCTGCTGAGTATCACAATCCCTGGTTTAATGTATTGCACGATTTCCCCCAAATAGGCCCATTTATTAACAAGGACTCTAAAGTTATAAGGACCTTGGAGCGCTCACATTCCCTTCCCTTCTATGGTGGATTAGTTTCTACTGACTTTAAAGTAGGGGTGTCAAACTTGATTTCATTGAGGGCCGCATGAAGGTTGTGTTTGACCTTGGAGGAGCAGGGATAGGTGTGGTTGGGGTGGGCATGGCCAGCTCAACGTCACTCGTGCTGGGGGTGCCTGTGGTGGCTTGAGCGCTCTGCCAGTGAAAAGGGGCTCCCAAGCTCCATTTTCAACTGTGGCAACCTCCTGCAGCCCTCTGCTAGCAAAAATGGAGCTGAATCAAGGCCTTGAATTTGACACCCCTGCTTTAAAGAGTGTTTGAACTTCTACAACCTCAAACCCCTGCATGGTTTCTCAGACACTATAAAAACCATTCAGGAATCTTTCCCTGGACTGAGGATTCCAGTACCCAGACCGTTGCAAGAAAGGACAAAAAGAAACCTTGAAGGCTTTCTCTGAATTGATCAACCCACATCTTTTCAACTTGCCAGGAGCTCCAAAGATATGATAGTGAATGAGACACCTTGAGTTGTCTGGTTGGTGTGCACTGCCTTTTCTTCCTGGGTCTTTAGAACACCCTAAAGCAGGGATATCAACAACCTCATATATGCAGATGATACCACTCTAATGGCAGAAAGTGAAGAGGAACTAAAGAGCCTTGTGATGCGGTTGAAGGAGGAGAGTGCAAAAGTTCACTTGAAACTCAACATTAAGATCATGGCCTCTGGCCCTCTCAATGCCTGGCAAATAGATGGGGAAGAAATGGAGGTAGTGACAGATTTTATTTTCCAGGGCTCCAATATCACCGCAGATGGGACAGTACCCAAGAAATTAAAAGAGGGTTGCTCCTGGGGAGGAAAGCTATGGCAAATCTGGACAGCAAACTAAAAACCACCCTGTCAACAAAAGTGTGTACACTCAAGGCTCTGGTTTTCCCAGTTGCAATGTACAGCTGTGAAAGTTGGACCATAAGGAAGGCTGAGTGCCAAAGAATGGAGGCCTTTGAACTCTGGTGCTGGAGAAGACTCCTGCGAGTCCCTTGGACTGCAAGGTGATCCAACTGGTCAGTCCGAGAGGAGATCAACCCTGACTATTCTTTAGAAGACCAGATCCTGAAGAGGAATCTCAAATGCTCTGGCCACCTAATGAGAAGGAAGGACTCCCTGGAGATGAGCCTAATGCTGGGAAAGATGGAGGGCAAAAGAAGAAGGGGATGACAGAGAATGAGGTGGATGGATGGAGTCACTGAAGGTGTCGATGTGAGCTTAAATGGACTCCAGGAGATAGTAGAGGACAGGAAGGCCTGGAGGAATGTTGTCCATGGGGTCAACTTCTGGGAGTTGAATTCCACCAAGCTTAAAGTTGCCAAGGTTGGAAACCGCTGCTCTAAAGAGCACTAATCAATACATTCAGAAGGAACTGACTGCGTTCACACAACACCGTGCAAAGTTAGCAAAATCCAATTGTGGTTTATTTAAGTAACCCTGCTGTCTGGCTTGACTTGACACACTGAAGCAGGGGCTCATTCTCCCCTCCCCCATTTGCGCCTGCGTCATATGTTAGACGAAAATGTGGTGAGCTCATTTGCGGTTCACGCACGTCCTGCACACATCTAGCCCTTGACAAATTTGGAGAGGGGAGAAAAATTGAACATCCCTGTTCAATAGAAAGCTATTATCTGCACTGTCCTTTTAACACTACTTACTTTCTGGGAGCTCACAATTATGGTCAGGTCTGGATTTGATTCATCACCCAAACTTCACCGCAGAGGTACCAGCCCTACATTAGCACTTCCAGGACTAAAGTGCTATTGAAAATACTCTAATTACATAGCTCTTGGTTACATCCAGAAAGCAAAGTATTTTGTCCTGAATGCATTCAGTGGCTGGTTGTGGGGGGAAGGAAAAAAAACCAGAACCTCTGAGTCATTTGTTGAATAGCTTTCAATGGTGCTGCCTTGAGATTTGTTTTGGTAATTCTGACTAAATAATTGCCACGCAAATGGCAAAGAGGAAGGGTGGGAGGTGATGGAGGACGGGGACCTTCTGGCAGAGAAACACCAAAGCCATCAGAAGCAGACACAGCAATGACTTGAAGTGTAACCTTGGCCAACAGACAAACCAAAGTGTTGTGCGTTGTGATTACTCTTCAAATTACGACTGTTCATTCAGAATCAGAATAGAGCTGGGACGGACCTTGGAGGTCTTCCAGTCCAGCCCCCTGCTCAAGCAGGAGACCCTATACCATTTGAGACAACTGACTGACCAATCTCTTCTTAATAACCTCCAGTGATGAAGCGCCCACAACTTCTGAAGGCAACTTCTGTTCCACTGGTTAGTTGTCCTCACTGTCAGGAAATTTCTTCTTAGTTCCAGGTCGCTTCTCTCCTCAATTAGTGTCCATCCATTGTTTCTTGTCCTGCCTTCAGGTGCTTTGAAGAATAAGTTGAACCCCCTCCTCTTTGTGGCAACCTCTCAAATACTGAAATACTTGACTAGAATACTTCACTTAACTGCACAGAACTTTACTTAACTGGAATGCTTCCCTTAACTGCAGTGATTCAAGTAATAACTGTGACCAAAAGGTCGCAAAACTAGGTGTGGCTCACTTAACATCTGGTTTCAGAAATTCAGAAATTCTGGCCCCAGTTGTAGTACTGGGCAACTTCTGAAGGCAACTTCTGTTCCACTGGTTAGTTGTCCTCACTGTCAGGAAATTTCTTCTTAGTTCCAGCTTGCTTCTCTCCTTGATTAGGTTCCATCCATTGCTTCTCTTCTTTCCTTCTGGTGCTTTGGAAAATAAATTGACCCCCACTTCTTTGTGGCAGACCCTCAAATACTGGAAGACTGGCTAGTTCTAGTCTAGTTCATCTTTGCTCTAGACTACCCATACCCAAATCCTCCAACTGTTCTCCATATATTTTAGTCTCCAGGCATTTAATCATCCTAGTTGCTCTTTGCACTTTTCTCAAAGTCTCAACCTTTTAGACCTGCCTGTGAAAGACGCTTCTGTCCCTAAAACCTTTAAATAAAACTGCCGGCCAGAATATGCAATACTAGAGGCAAAAGTGATCTGTAAATCCCTTCCTTATTTGTAAGTCCCCGAAGTCAGATCTGGATTTCGTATGTCACAATCCTGGCCCGGCAGATGACAGCGTTCTCCAAGCAGGCATCTGTTTATGTCGAATAAGCACTCGGTAATAAAGCCCAGGTTTCTGTCTATTCAGCCTCTGCAAATGATGAATTTAGATAGAGGTGGTATTTCAGCCAGTTCAGGCTGGTTCTGGCAAACTGGTAATGGAAATTTTGAGTAGTTCGGAGAACCGGCAAATACCAGCTCTGGTTGGCCTTGCCTTCCTGCCTCTGCCGTTCCCTGTCTTCAGTGGTGAAATTAAAAAAAAATTTCCTACCGGTTCTGTGGGCATGGCTTGGTGGGCATGGTGCAACTTGGGGGGCATGGCTTGGGGGGCGTGGCTTGGGGGCATGGCAGGGGAAGGATACTGCAAAATCTACATTCCCACCCCACTCTGGGGCCAGCCAGAGGTGGCATTTGCTGCTTCTCTGAATTACTTAAAATTTCCGCTACTGGTTCTCTAAACTACTCAAAATTTCCTCTACCGGTTCTCTAAACTACTCAAATTTTCCTCTGCCAGTTCTCTAAACTACTCAAAATTTCCTGTACTAGTTCTCCAAACTACTCAAAATTTCCTCTACCGGTTCTCTAAACTACTCAAATTTTCCTCTGCCAGTTCTCTAAACTACTCAAAATTTCTTGTACTAGTTCTCCAAACTACTCAAAATTTCCTCT